CAACACACTCTTAGACACAGGGAGGCTGAAATAAAGATATGCTCAAAAAGATCTTAAGTTTCTGCTTTATTGTAAAAGATTAAAAACTACATGTGCCACTTTTTCTTTAAACATATGTTAAAGAAATCATAATTCTTCCCACAAAAGATTAGTGATATTTTTACAGCTGGCTGGGGAGCTGTGAGTGAGGCTGTGACTACGCTCATGTCTAGACAGGAGCGTGCACTTTTATGAGAGGATCACATCAGCTCTTAGTTGTTCTCTGCTGATTCAGAAAAAAAAAATGGAGAAAACCATTTGTCCAGCAGACAGACACAGGGCAGATTGACTTCCCACCACTTCGGAGCGGGGGAAGCTGTGTGTCATCACCCTGGCATTTGGAGCTGGTCTGCAGTCAGCGACAGTGGAAGTAGACTCAGGTTCATGTGAGGAAATCGTGCCAGCTTCCCAACGGAGCTCCAACTGGGTTAAAATGTCAATCTCTTGCTCACATTAAGGTAAAAAGTTCAATGAGTTATTGTTTGTACTAACATGTAGTCCCGACTGTATGATAGCCACACTTCAAGCTACCTAAGCGCAAGTGTCCTGAAGTTGACCTTGAGCTGCAGTCGGGGGAAGCAGAAATATATTTCCCTGCAGGAATAGTTCATTGTATCACTGCCTATGTTGAATGGAGTGTTTGTAAAGTATCAAGTCTCACTCTTTCCATCAGTCGGAAGTCCAAAATAATACTCAGCTAGGGGAGGTTTGGAGACACTCCAAATGTTCCTGTTAACGTTTTTTTTCCACACAAAGCGGGCTATCAAAAACATGCAGTAAATCGTGTAAAAATGTACATCCATAACAGTTGAGGGTTTCCAATTCATTCTAAATATTGAGCTTTGGAATAAAAATATCTATAAAACAGATACATTTGTGCAACTCCAAATACAAAACTGATGGAAAATGTTCAACAGTCACAACAAATGCACTTGCTCCTCTGGGACAAATCTAGCACACAACACTGAGTCTGAATCAGCAGTTACACTTTGTTCCCAGCTCTCCTGTTTTATCCGTCTTTTGGATTGTTCCCACGCCTAGCGCTCAACATCGTCCCAGCCCAAAGATGGCTCATGGGAAATGCTGATCTGGAAGTTTGTATATTGAATGTAAAGCCAATAACAAGTAGTGCTAATGTGTTGGGATTGAGGAATAGTGGTAGTTTAGATGCATTTCAATAACCAAAAGAAAACTGAATCTATTACCTGACTGCACTTTTAAGTTATACACTGTCATCTAGCAGGTTGATGTTGATTGAATGAAGCATGAAAGAGAAAGTCGGAACCGCATGAAAGAGAAAGTCGGAACCGCCAAAACAGAGAAATCCTCAAACATTTGCTTGAAAATAACACAGCACACAGAGTAGCCATAAAAACCAAAGTGTGGTTGTAAACAAAAGACTGAAGCAAGTGCACAGACATCTGTAGAGTCAGCCTGCTGTGATCAGACAGCTGGGCCTTCATCTCACTGCAACTAAATCTTATATCAACATTCAACATAGCTGCCTTTGACATGAGCGTGATACATGGACACCTGTAGTGGATGTTACATCACATTGTTGCATATTGGAGTAAGGGCTGAAAACATCACGTTTACATAATATTGACTTTTAAAGAACTAAGATGTAGAGCCTTAGCTTGTTAAGTTTCTCAAAAGAGTCCAACTGACATTATCAGCAGGCCACTATTGATGTATCTCACACTTTAGATCAGTCTCAGATGTGGTACATTATCTTTCTTTTATATACTTGTATTGTATATAGGCTTTTATATGTTATTTACAGAATCCAATCCCAGTTGGGTCTACAGGTTGAACTTGTTCAAATAGTAGGTCACTCTTAATTTTGGGAATAAACGTAGGCCTATTGAGCAATAGCAAAACATCCCTAACAAAAGCTGAATTTGTTTTATTTAACAACTTGGTTTGAAAATATTGTTCTTGCGAATATGAAACTGAAATATCAATAATGTTACCTGAACATGGTTATTGTGTACTTCTGCAGTGGGATGCTAGTTAAAGATCGTTCTCAATTGTTAGAGATCAGGGTTTTTTTGACAAATGTAAAACCTTTATAGGCCCTCAAATATTAGTTTAAGTGTAGCCAAATAGTGAAGTGACAACACCTTGAATCCTCATGAGCTACACTGGTTTCTACATGTGTGCTGTGCAGCTGGCATCATCTCTCTGCATCAGGTTGCTAGGCAGCAGTAACAGCTGATGAAGACTGTAGCAGGTATAGTGGGGCAGACAGATTAAGAAATCTCCTCTGGGTTGACAACAGAAGTGCTCATTCAGAGCAAGTTTTCTCAAAGTTACTCATCATCCCCTTCCCCCTACCTTCTTATAAGCCAGTTGAAGATAGTTGTAGGGGATCCTCCTGTGGAAGTCCTGCACTACATCCTCGCTGACTTTGTGCAGAGATTGACTGCCAAGTATCTCCTCGATGCATGTATTCATACACGCCGCTCTCCGGAGCACCACGTCAGGGAAGCGCAACTCCGAGAAGGTGGCATCAAAGGGATGCTGGTCCTGGCACCTCAGCCGGCACCGGACCTTGGTTTGGCGGACTTCCCTGTAGCTGCTGAGCGCTCCCTCCATGTAACGGACCACATTTGGGTAGTCGTTGTTGTAAAACGCCTGAACCGCATTGTCATATAAAAGGTCGTAAGGCTCCAGGAAAGCTGTTGAGGGGGACAACGCCACGGTGAGCAGGACTACTGAGAAAATAGCAGCCGGGGAAAAGTTCCCATCCATCCTCTGCTTCTGTTCAGCGGCTGTCAGTCACTTCTGCGATCAGCTCGGACTCGTTTCAGAGTCCATTTAAAAAGCTCCTCTCAGAAAGACTCAGGACGGCTCCGGACCAGGGCGGAAATAATGTTGCTTCAGTCGGGGACACACATCTTGTTATGACCCCTCTCCGGCTCCGCTAACTCCGCCCCTCCAAGACATGAATGGCCGGAGCACAATGCCAGCTTTGCGTACAGCAGGGACGCACAAGGGTTCTTCAGGGAGAAATGAGAAATACTAGTTTTACTTAACATCATTTCTCCACCTTGTATTTATTAAAAAACGACTTTAAGTGTTGTTTCACATGGCGCAGTTAAATCAATGGTCGTTGCTTCAGAGAAAACATTGAAAATATAAAGTTTGGGTTCCTTCAGGGTTGATAAAGGACCTACAGAAATGCCTGAAACTAAAACTTTTTTCTGTTAAACAAACGCAAAAATAAAAATACTGAGGTTGAGTGAAGCCCAATAGCCTACAACCAATTAAAAGTTAACTATTTTGAACTAGTTTTATTAGAGAAATTAAACTTTTTGTTGCTGTTTTGATTTGTTTTTCACGAGAATGGCTCAAGGTGAAAAAGTCAGCAACTTCTTCTTCTTCTGGATGAATTTGTAACATTAGCCCATGGACTACAGACTGGCCCTGTTAAAAATAAATAAATAAATAAGGATAATACAAAGAAATATGAAATGAATAGGCTGAGAAGCTAGTTTTAATGTGTGTTTGATTTCACACACACATATATTTTCTGGATGAATTTGTAACATTAGGCCATGGACTACAGACTGGCCCTGTTAAAAAAAAAACAATAAATAAGGATAATTCAAAGAAATATGAAATGAATAGGCTGAGAAGCTAGTTTTAATGTGTGTTTGATTTCACACACAATATCTATTGTGAGATATACATACACAAAGGCTAGTTGCTGTATTGTCTTCTGGAAGTCTCTTATGTTACAGGAGGTCTAATGTGAGAGTCAAGACATCCAGAAACAATTCCATTAAAGGAAAACGTCTCCCTCTGCAGGATAATTCAGTTAAGAGCAGTTTTACTACCAGGCTGCTTATCAACCAAACTCTTACCTTTTTATCCAGGAAAACCCGAAATGCATGAAGCTTGAATAAACATTTAACTGTTAACCCAATACTATTTACTTCTGGGGCAATAGGAATGTAGCCAAGCAGGTAAAATCACTTCAGTACATCAACTAACATACACAATCCAAAGCCTACTGTTAACTCAACTTTAACTAATATTATGAAACATTAATTAAAAGACTATGTTTTCTTATCATTATTAGTTTAGTGAAATGTAATCTGGAAGCACATTATTTGTACTATTCTAAGAAAGACTATGTTTGTATTATAATGTCAAGCAAAAGCTTTTTCACATGCAATCTAATAACAAAATGTAATAATTTCTACATTTCACGACTACACAACAGTCATCATACAACATCATTTACTGCTAAACATACCTGCATTAAAACACTCTTTACTGGCATCCTGGATACTTCAACTTAGCCAACACCCATCTGTGAAATCTAAATTCCAGTTTGTGTGGTGAAATGTTTTATAAATAGACTGAAAGTGAATGTGTGGTTTAGATACTTCACATCTGCTGAGGTGCCAACAAGCTCCTTACTGTGAGGAATGCCAACACACACAGATATTTGAGTTTCTATTCATGTACATGGTACTAGGTGCTAGTTCTGCCGTTCTTTAAATTAGTTTGTGCTGCCGATATAAACTGGTTATTTTAATCAACTGATTTTGTTGGTTTGTTTTATCTGTGTAATCTAGACAAAAATGTGAGGTGTAGAGTAAATATATCTTGATCTGAATTAGCATGCTCGGTTGGTAAATGTTTCACCAGGTACTTTAAAAGTGTAAAACATCCATCATGCAGCCTGCATTTTCTACTATTTTACTTTCACTTGCTGTCTGAGAGTTCAGGAAGAGTATGGGCAGCACTGTGCCACCATGAGAGGTTCCTACGTGAGTTTATATCCACAGCTAATTTTGTTAAATGTATGTTAAACTGAAGAGATTGACTTTTGTTTCCATTTGACCAAGGATGGCTTACAGTACCTGTACATCAACATCTTGTGCAATTAATTTCATTAAGGATCAAGTTATTTTGTCTAGCAGATATCATAACAGTAACTCTCAGTCTCTGTTTGTATACAAAACAATTCTTTATTTTGAATTCACCATGGCAGCAGCTGTGATACCAGATGCCTAAATACAGTATTTAGAGGGTAAAACGACAACAGATACGAGAGGAAGGAAACGGTTTTGCTGTCAGGAAAGCTCTCATTACTGGAGCCAGGTCTCAGGACAGCACAGGATCCACGTAACAACGAACATCAACATCCTAACATCTTACATTAAGTCAACAAGTACATTAACTCAAATACTGCACCACAAGAGTCAGAATTTGAGTATTTCAGTCATTTAAGGAAGACAAAATATAGCACATAATTTGCCTAAATCCGTCACTTCTCCTGATAAGAACAGTGAAGCCAAAATATATTGGCTGAATGAAAAGCTTTTGTGTCAGTGTTTAAATCAACTCTTAAACACAACCAAGAAAAAGGGATCGAACAAAACAATATAAATATCAGTTTTTCCTTTTTCTTATTTGTGTTGCATAATATTATCATAATATGGTAAGTGTATGCTGTATAACAAAGAGAAATTAGCAAATGCAGTTGATGTTGTTACAGTTGCATTACATCAGACACAAAAGTCAGCAGTGATTTCATGAGTTTGACATAAACATTAAGTGAATTCTGTATGTATAATATAAAAGAACATAAGGTTACCCTGAGTAAAGAAATCTGTTTTATTTTTTTCTCAAAATGTACATACAACAATCTTCCAAACTGACAAATAACAATAACAACAAATATAAATGACAAAAACAAAAAACGAAATATAAATCTTTAACCCTTAGATGCACCAGTGATTGGATCCTACACTCTTCCTTCATCTCCCTCCACAACCACTCCTATGCTACAGCCTCAGTCACCCAAGGCCTTCCCCAGGGATCAGTACTCGGCCCCCTACTCTTCATCATCTACGTCCTCCCCCTCGGTCAAAACCTCATATTACCACCTCCGCAAATCCGACCCTCTCTTACCTGCCCCGCAGCTGTTCAAAATTTGAATGGCATGATATCAAAAACTGTTTTTTTGAGGAATAGCTGGTATATGAAATGATAGAAAAATGTAATTACAAAGATACTTCAAGAAAACCACCTCACTGGTTCATTTTTAACCCACTTATGCATCTAAGGGTTAACAAAATACACAAATAAGACGATATAAACACCAGTGTGGAACTGAAGTAGAATGGATTGTACAGCAATGTAAAATTACAGTCATTTGCCACCAGGCATCAAAACAAGTATTCTACTTTATTCTAAGTTTTTGAAAACTAAAAAGCAAAGATAAAAAATAAACATTAAAAGAAAAATACATGGATAAGGCAGTGACTTTCTAAGTGACAGAAAACCTTAAATCTATAAAATGATATTGAATTTCAGTACAAACTGCCTGCTGTTGTGCTTAACCCTGATCCTTGATGTTCGGTATTTCTATTCCTGTAGTAGAAACCCAATATAATGTCACTGCAGGACTGACTTTATCGCGGCCTCTCCTTCACTAGACGTAGTTGGACTTGGGGCCCATGGGGGGAAGGAGGTGATTGTTGGAGCTCATGGAGCTGGTCGTCTGAGACCGCGAGCATCTTCGACAGCCCAGGAAAGCTCCACCAACCGCAGTGAGGAGGCCGCCAGCCCAGCTGACAAATACAGCATTACCAAACTCAAAGCTGCAGAGGAAAACAAATATACACATTTAGATGTACAGAATCAAATGTGTGTGTGTGTGTGTGTGTGTGTTGTGTTACTGTATACTTAGGCTACTTTCGCAAAACATTTCAGACTAAAGACCAGTTCATTGGGGAATAAGTGTCCAAGAAATGAATGTGGGTCAAAGTAATATCCTCAAAAGCTATAAACTTGAGATTGTGTGTGTGTGTGTGTGTGTGTGTGTGTGTACCTTTGAAGCGTTTTCGTTTCATGATAGTTGTCAACAATCTTTTTGACGTACCAGGAAGTCATAATGATTGTCAATACACCTGAACAAAGAAAACACATCATATTGTGAAACAGAGAAGGGTTCAATTATGTTTTTCTGTTTTAAAACATCACTTTTAAATATGTTTTTCTTGTGTCGTTTGCAAGGTTTAGCAAACTTGGAAATATTTCGAAAATATCTTACAACTAATGGGTGAGAAAAGTAAAATTTGAAAAAGGGTTACCTGTAAACTAGGTAGTGTGTTTACTGTTTGTTTATATATTTTATTTAAAAAAAGTAAAGGATTAGATATTTAAAAAGACTATTAGAAAAGTTATTCAGAATTTTATAAAAGCTTTTCTGTTTAAATGTGGGTTGCTGTGTCTTATGTTGTTGCCTGTAACTCTTTATTATTGCTGCCTATTGTGGCCAGGAGAAAACAGAGCTTTTAAATCTCAATGAGGCTTTTTGTTGTTATATAAAGGTTATATAAAATAAGAATTTGATTAGCACATTATATTGAGATATTATCCAGTTGCCACTGCACACACCTGAAATCATGAACATGATTCCTCCGATCATAGCTGTTGTGGATTTGCTCTCAGACTTGCCGTCCATGAAGCGAGTGCACTTCATCCCCACTGTGGAGACCATCAGAGCCACAGTGGAGAGGAAGATGCTGATCAGCATCACCGCCCTGGTAGCCTGGACCTCAACTACAGGAGAAAAACTGGGACTGTTGGAATATAAAAACTTTTCATGTATACTGTCTTATACTTAGAAATTACCTATCCCTTCTGTGAGAAATTGCATATCTTTCTGTAACTTCATTCATAATAAATGTGCAGTATTAGTCTGGCTTAAACTGTAGGTTTAACCAACCTACCAACTAAATCAAAACATAATAAAAAAATAAGCTGAGATAAACTTAAATCTACAAAATATACTTAAAGATTGGCATAAATGAATTCCTCAACAACAACAAAATGTCTATGAATATAAGACATACCATAAAGTCAGTAAAGGTCAATCTAAAGAGACTTCTGTCTAATTATAGTAACGTATTATCTCAAGAAGCAGCGTCTGGTTTTCGGAGGAGATGCAGATGTGATGAATACATTTAAAAAAAACTTACTTGGCAGCTTCAGGAGGTACTGGTGAAATTCACAAGTTGTTCTTTCATTGCCACTGCAGCTCATCCACAAACCCTCAAATATGCGGTGCGTCTTGCCCTGGTACTGCTTCTTCCATTCAACCATCAACGTTGCGCCCACAGTGGCAGCGAGACCGACCAGAGAGAGGAAGAAACCGAGGAGCTGCAGTCCGGAGCTGGCCATCGTACAGCGGGAAGAGTTCAGTTAACAAGTCCGAGAAGTTATTTGGGAAATATGTACCAGAGAAAAACAAACTACAAGCGAGCAGAAGTCGTTGAAGCCAACAAATGATACCTATAAGTGGCTCCTCGCAGACCGTTATTCACGCGCTCTTCTGCAGCCTCTATTTAAAGTGCAAGCCACGTGACGCATGGAACGTCCACTCCACCGAGTAGCATGATACTATTGACTCCACCTGCAGTGGATGATGGGAAGACATTTTCTTAGGAAGTCCTATCGGAAAAAATAATACATTCCGGTAAATAAGGAGTATTAAACAAACATATACGGCAGTCTTTCAAATTATTATAATGTGAGTTTCCACCTTCAGTGTCATGCTTTTTAGTTCATTTGACACAACAAGAGTGAGGACCACATGTCTCACATAGTCAAGGATAACACATTAAAAGGCATATGCAGCAATTCCCAACATTAAAAACAATGTATGGACTTATGGTGGTGGAAGAAGTACTCAGATTCTTAAATTAAGTATATACCACTAAAAAATACTCTTCTACAAGTAAAAGTAGAAAATTACACAAGTGTTGGCATTCAAATATACTTAACGTTCCTAAATTAAAAGTATTAGTATAGCAGAATTACATTTTCTCGGATATTATATAATTTATTATCGTGAATTATATGACCCACTACAAGTGTGTGCTGGCATCTACAGAGACATAACTCTCTGGATTATCTATTCTTACATTATATCTATCTGTTTACAACTCTTAAATAAAATGTAGGGTATTTGTCTAATTTTCCCAGATGTTGCCCATTCTTAGATGAGCCGACAGTGGCTTAAATTCATAACACACTACAGGAAAGGGAAACTCTAAAAAGCTTAATAGGTCCCCTTTGAGTAATACTTGCAATGCTGTTATGTTATCTTGCACATTGTATTGTGACTGAAGAAACAATACTTTCCAATGGTGTCCATGGGAGAGTGATGGGCTGGCACATAAAGGTGTCATTGGCTCTTTCTATATGGAGGTCCTTATACAGTTTGTTTGTTTGTTTGTTTGTTTGTTTTTACTAAGTGCAGGATAAGTTTATTGTAAAATGCCAGTATAAACAACAAAAACAGCACAGAAAAACAAGAACCAAACTGACACAAACATCACTGAAAGAGGAGGTCTTTCACCCAAACAAGTGATAGTTAAGACGCCTAATTGACGTTCCTTTCCTCAGCAAATTAGAGCAGCAAGCGTATGTTTACATGGTTAAAAAGTCTTTATTTTACCCAGACAATTACCAAATGATTTGACCATATTTGGTGAAGTGGATACCAGTTTGTAAACACTGCATTTGTCTGTTAGATTTAATCAGTGTCCACCCTTTCCTGAAAAAAGCCTCCATCAAAACATTGTGCGGCAATTAAAGTCACAGCCCACATTTGCATTTTCCCGAAGCAAGTCATTATGTATCCCTCCCTTACAGGCACTTGGTTTACTCCTTCAAATTCCTTTTTTTTTTCTTCACACCCATTGTTTAATATCACTTTAAAAAGGTCTGATCAGGTCACACATTAATATGAAGGAATTCCTGCTCTATGTTTGCAGATTACATGGTAAAATCATTATCAAACTTGGCGACCCCTGAATAAATGGAAACAGACTTCCTTTTAGGATCTGTAAGAGAGGAAAATATATTGCATGTCTTCCCCTCTTGGACAACATGACGAGATTGTAAATCTGCGATACAGTACTGTATGTGTAATAACTGATTTACATCCTGGGAGGACCTTTTAAGATATTGTACATATAATAATGATGGTAAAGAGATTTTGGAGTGTATTTTAAGGTCCGATGCTGATCATAATGCATAACAGGTGCTGGTGTGAGTCATCAGAAAAAATGCCTTTTCTTTGTTATCTTTTTTTTGACAGTTCATCAATCGTGCTTGTGTATTAGTTAGGAAACTCACCTAGGCAGTGGAAGACTACACACAAAAAAGCAAGAAATACCAAATCTTTAATACAATTCACTGCATTTGGACAAAGGGGTGATGCACCACTGAAACTGACCGAACCCCTTCCCTTCATATTGTGTATGTGTGCTTCAGTGTGTCTACTGTAGATCAGTGGCTCTACAGAATTATGTGATTTCTTCTCGCACAATTGGATTCCACCACAAACTCCAATTTGTTATCAAATGTCTTATATTACAATATTTACAGATCTGATGCATGCCATCTCTACAGGCACTTGATTGTTACAAACTCTTCCTCATTCATGCGATTGTGCTCATAGTTTCAAGGGTAAGGAGGTACTGATCCAATTTGCCTAATCCACCCCCAGGAATTCATTTTGGTGTGAACGCGATATGCTTTAGTTCACACCAAGTCAGTGTTTCACCTATGGTAATATGCGGGATTTCCGTTTTATTGTACACTTTATCTACAATATTCAGTAATCAAAGAGGGAAGGGGTCACATAGTTGTTGTGGGTGTAGTCTCTATTCTGCAGCATTAAGTATGACACATTGTCTAGAGTGACTCAAAACAGGGCAGAGGTGACTGTGTGCAACAGCCCAGATTAACCTCAAATTTGGTCTGCATAACTATGATCCTGATGCCTGAACAGCGGATGCACAGAATCCCTAAGGGCACCTCGAGTCACAGTCAATCTGCCACTAACCCAAGAAAACTGTATTGCAAGTTAAGTGTTTACTGTAATGAAACACAACATCCTTATTAATTGGCATTCAACTATTGGAATGGTTGTCATGAAAGGTAGATAATACTTTCATTGGTCACTGAACTGTAGTAACTTTGGTGTTCCCCTAAAATTCAGTCAAGTGCCTTCATCTTGTAAAAATGTGATTTATTTTAACTTGTTTTAGTCTTAATATCAGCTTAAACTGTATGTTTAAACAAATGCTCAATGTTAGCATGCTAACACGCTAAGCTAAGATGGTTATTATGGTAAACATTGCTCCTGCTTTGCATCAGCATGTTAGCATGGACATTATGAGAATGTTAGCATGCTGACATTAGCATTTAGCTTGCAGGACAGTTTTATATCAGCACAGAGCTGCTACAGTATTAGTCAGTCAGTATTCTGTGAGTAGTTGCGAACTGATAAAGGATAAACGTTATCCAATGCAAAGGGTATGAGGATACACCTTAGGTATCAAGCATGTGACATCCAGCCCATATCATCCTGAAAGTCAGGGGGCATTAGAGAGGTTTCACCAGACTATGAAATGCATGTTAAGAAAACATTGCCACGAGTCTCATACAAATTGGGATGACGGTGTTCCTTTTGTGTTATTTGCTGCCCGTGAAGCTGTTCAGGAGTCTCTAGGTTTTAGTCCTGCTGAGCTAGTGACATGAGGTCAGAGGTCCTTTAAGAGTTCTTAAAGAGCATTTGATCATGCCAACGAAAAAAGTTTGCAGTATTCCGGAGTATGTCGCCAAACTAAGGGGTCGTCTACATCGTGCTTGCTCCTTGGCTAGAGAAGCTCTGACCTCTACTCAAGGGAAGATGAAGAAACGCTACGACCAGAAGGCGGTAGCGCGCTTGTTTCAGCCAGGTGACAAGGTGTTGGTTCTACTGCCTGTACCTGGTTCTGCTCTGTCTACTAAATCTTCTGGTCCTTATGTTGTAGATACGAAGCTCGGTGAAACAAATTACGTCATTCAAACACCTGACCGCAGACGTCCTACCAGAGTGTGTCATATCAACATGCTGAAGAAGTACTGCACCAGGGATGACCAAAGTGAATCTTCCAAAGCTCACCAGGTGGAGACAACCGTCTCTCCTATGGCTTCAGTTTCAAGGGTGAGCTCAAATGAGGATGAGGATGAGTTGGTGATGCGTAGTGCAACACCACAGGGGGCAAGACTAAGCAATACTGAGGTATTGGCTGATTTGCCCAATTACTTGTCTCATCTTCCTGATAACCAAGAAAGTGATATACAGAAACTGATATTCGACTTTGCATGTCTTTTTAATGACACTCCCTCACAAACTTCTGTCCTAGCTCATGATGTGGTCTTGACTAACCCTAGGCCCATCAAATGGCGTGCGTACAGGGTTAACCCAGTTAAGAGAGAGATTATGAAAAAAGAAGTTGAGTATCTACTTGAAAACGGATTTGCAAGGCCTAGTTCCAGTCCCTGGAGTTCTCCTTGTGTGCTAGGCACAAAGTCAGATGGAAGTCCCAGATTCTGCACTGACTTTCGCAAGGTTAATGCTGTCACTGTCCCCGATGCACACCCCTTACCGCTCATTGATGACTGCATCGATGAAATTGGTCCTGCACAATTTGTCAGTAAGCTGGACATGTTAAAGGGATACTGGCAAGTTCCTTTAACACAGCGTGCTTCTGATATTTCAGCCTTTGTGACACCTGACAGTTTCCTTCAGTACACTGTGATGCCTTTCGGTATGTGTAACGCACCTGCCACCTTTCAGAGGCTTGTAAATCTTGTATTAGGATGTTTCAAACTGTAAGGCATATCTGGACGACATTGTTGTCTATTCTAATGACTGGGCTAGCCACATGTCTACCTTAAGAGAAGTTTTTAAGTGCTTGTTGGCCGCATCCTTAACGTTAAACCTTGCCAAATGTGAGTTTGAAAAAGGTACCGTTCTCTACCTTGGTCAGCAGGTTGGTCGAGGGCTGGTGTGCCCTGCTGATGCAAAGATCAGGGCAATTGCCTCCATCCCAGAGCCATCCACCAGGAGGGAACTTCGCCGCTTCCTAGGAATGGCAGGGTACTATCGCCGTTTCTGCAAAAACTTCTCCTCGGTGGCGGCCCCACTCACTACGTTGACCAGTCCCTCAAAGTCTTTTGTTTGGTCCGGTGAGTGTCAGCAGTCATTTGAAAGCCTAAAAGGTATTCTGTGTTGCACTCCTGTTCTTTCTGCACCAGACTTTTCGAAGCCATTCAAGCTTGAAGTCGATGCCAGTGGAGTTGGGGCAGGGGCTGTTCTTCTACAAGAAGATGCACAGGCCATCGATCACCCCGTGAGTTACTTCTCCCGAAAGTTTAATAAACATCAGTTGAAGTACTCTACTATTGAAAAGGAAGCTTTAGCTTTATTGTTTGCCTTGCAGCACTTTGAGGTGTATCTTGGCTCCAGTGTAAAACATATTAAGGTATACACTGATCACAATCTCCTGGTT